TTCGAAATCACGCCATTTGACTCAATGACAGGCCTTATGATACAGCATGCACGTGCTAACCATTCGGCCATCCAACAACCCCCCCCCCTCCCGTTAATCGGAAAATTGAATCGGTTTGGCCTGGACTGTTATGTTTACCTACCTCGTCTGATATCTGGCTGCCAAATGTTACCCATGTTCCTTTAAAAAAAATATTATAAATCAAAAACACATTTACAGTTATAATGACGAACAATCAAACAACATTTACATCATAGATCAAATTTTTGATAACAGTTTGCGTGAACGATTTTGATTAGCCAATGCAGAGTGCAAGGTGAAAAGGCATACATGGTTAAATTGTCAATGAGTCAGTTTCATTTCATAGATGTCGGAGAATCTCCGTGCATAATTTCCGGTTGCAGTACGAACGATAATTCAATCTGTTGTTCTGACTCCCTACCTTCTCATAATATCATAATGCTGTCAAACTTTTATTTAAGGTGAAACCATGAACAGAAATTGAAATCTCTGATTGCAAATTCTGTTCCAATCAGTCACGATACGATACACATTGCGATTCGTTTCACCAAATCTGACCCACAATCAAGGAGAACTGTTGGTACATGTAGGTCAGTTTTCTTTAAAGATTGTTTTTTTTTTTAAAAAGTCAAATGAAATGGGGTTTAAAGTCTTACTGTTCTGCTCCGAACATGGCTACCAGTGTGCTATGACAGAAATTTTGCCCAGACAACGGCACTACGGCCTACTCTTGTATCAAATTCCAACTGTCAAGGGATCTTTTTTTTGCATGCCAATGTGTACACGGGACCTCGGTTTTTATCCCATCCGAATGACTAGACAGCTGTCCTTGTCAGGCCCTCAGTCCTGCATAACTGACAAGGGAGAACCACGCTGAAAAATCTGAATGAACTTTTTCAGCCAATGCAGATATCGAACACCCGACCTCCAGGCTAGCGAGCCAGTGTCTTACCCACTTAGCCACCGTGACCCCCCTTTTCCAGGTGGAAACATTCGCCTTCTTTGTGGGCACAAATCAATAACGATGACAACATGATTTTTATTGAGGCACAACTCACACACGATTTGCCACAAAATTAAAGTGTGATTTTCCTTCAACATTTTTTTAACGATCGTGCAGGTTTTGCTTTCATTTTACCATAAAACGGATATCATTGTTATTATTAAAGCGATACTCCACACACATTGAGACAGAATCATTTCATGGGAACGGTCACTCTTTCGTCTGCAACCATTTTGTTGAAAAGCAACATCTATGACGTTTTCATCTTGATTAGCCAGTTTCAATAATGAATCAAACCATAGCCATTGTAAAGGGGAATAACTCTCGTGATATATTTCCAGTTGACAAACAAAATAAAATAAATAATCACAGAAAAGTGCAATAAAATAATTTAAGTTAGGGATGGTTTTAGCTGGTCGGCTGTTTTAGGTGAAAGATATGTTTAACGTCCACTTAACACAAGCTAGGTCATTTCGGGACTAACATATGATTTAACTTTATTTCAATAATTCGCTTCCGCGTAGGAGTCTTTAGTAGCGGGAGGAAACTGGAGGACCCAGAGAAAACCCACGAGGTTGGACAGGCGAGTCTACTCCTTGTCATGTACAACCAGGGAATCTTGAGTTATAGAAGTGAGAGACACAAAAAGTACTATAACTTACCAAATCCTATATTCGACACTCTTAGTCCTGATTTCCCAAGATTTCTGTAGATAAAAAAAACAAATTAATCATTTATTAACTGTAAGAACAGAAAAACTGCATCTCATGCACGGTTCTCACATGAGAGGGGTTGACAAGGAAGCTTTCTAGTCATTCGGAAGGGACAAAAAACTGTAGTCCATCCAGGTACAGATTGGCATACAGGTAACAATGGAACTCAAAGACAAGTAGGCAGATATGGTGCTGTTAGGCCAAAATGAAAATCACAATACTTAGAGTCTCAAAATGAACATTGTGTTGCCTAGGCATTAAACATAATTACATTCCCCTGCCAATATCTACCAGTATAAAGCCACAAAAATCTCAATTTTCATACTACATATAGTTATAGATACACACCAGTAATATAGATTCTATAGTATGAGATAAATTAACTCACTAACAAGTATATAGATATACATAGATCCAACAGTATGTGATTAATTAACTCACTATACACCAGTAATATGATATCTGACTGTATGCAGTTAATTAACTCAGTATTTATAACATGTATTTAGATATCTAACAATATGAGATAAATTAACTCACTATTTAGATATGTTTGTATTCACCAGTAATATAGATATCTAACAGTAGGGTGACCCACCATAAATAAATATCTCCAAATATCTCGAAAATTACGCCACAATATTTATATATATGCCAAGCCTCAAATCAGTTTCACACAATTATAGTCACTTAATAAACGATCATGTTGTACTTAATAAGCTATGACCATTAATCATCTATAAATAATAGACTGAAAACTGGTTCCAAGTGTCGTCTATAACATCCAGACACTTTTGAGTAAAAGATAGGTTACCTGCCCTTGTTTTGAAATTAGTCTCGCATAACCAGTCTATCGACCATTCTACGTCTGATTGACAGGTCGGGATAATCAAGACTACTTTTTTACGAAACATAACAGAAAGCTAGAACAAGAAATTGAATTTAGAAATTAGCACTTTAGCCAACTCAACAATTGTTTTAAGAAACTTGTAAAAGTAAAATGAAACTACTGCTAGTATCATGTTCCTGCTAACGAAAGTGATTCAGAGATATTATTAGTACTAAACCAAAAGATGCCGCTCTTAACGGTACAGTTTATGATAAAGCAATTTAAACAAGCCAACAGTGAGGCTGATGTCCCCCGCCGAAATCCCAAAATAAATAGATGACACATATTCATTAATCGCACATTTATTTTTTTTCAAAAGTATCAAGCAATCAAACAAATTATCACCTATACACTAAGTTTGATCACTCTCTATCATATCGAATCAAAGTTATCGATCCTTAGCCTAAGCAGAAAATTCTCATTAACAAAATTAGTCAAGGTAATGATATAACGAATCTATACTCAGAGTTTCATCACTCTCACTTAATTAAAACCAAAGTTATCAACCAATCAGATTGCTTATCTCTGCTGACCGTAAGCAGACAAGCTTTATCATCGAACTCCATCAAGACATTCACCTAATGAATGCCTACACCAAGTATGAACATTCTTCCTCAATTAGAAGGAGAGTTGTGTTCCAAAGTCTCGACCAATCAAATTGCTTATCGCTCTGCTTACCCATAAGCAGAAAATGCTTATTTATGGAACTTACTCAAGGTATTGATGAGATAAACCTATACACTAAGTGTCCCCACTCTCACTTAATTAGAACTAAAGTTATCGTGTCCCAAAGCATCGACCAATCAAATTGCTTATCTCTGCTTACCCTTAGCAGAAAATGCTCATCTTCGAACTCTATCAAGGCATTCACCTAATAAACACCTACACCAAGTTTGAACATTCTAGCTCAATTAGAAGGAGAGTTAATGTGTTCCAAAGTCTCACCCAATCAAATTGCTTATCGCTCTGCTTACCCATAAGCAGAAAATGCTTATTATCGAACTTAGTCAAGGTATTGATGTAATAAAACTATACACCAAGTTTCATCACTCTCACTTAATTAGAACTCAAGTTATCGTGTCCCAAAGCATCAACCAATCAAATTGCTTATCGCTGCTTACCCTAAGCAGAAAATGCTCATCTTCGAACTCCATCAAGGCATTGACCTAATAAACACCTACACCAAGTTTGAACATTCTAGCCCAATTAGAACAAGGCATTGACCTAATCAACACATACACCAAGTTTGAACATTCTAGCCCAATTAGGAAGAGAGTTATCGTGTCCCAAAGCATCAACCAATCAAATTGCTTATCTCTGCTTACCCTAAGCGGAAAATGCTCATCTTCGAACTCCATCAAGGCATTGACCTAATAAACACATACACCAAGTTTGAACATTCTAGCTCAATTAGGAAGAGAGTTATTGTGTCCCAAAAAGTGTGACGGACAGACAGACGGACAGACGGACAGACAGACGGACAGACAGACGGACAGACAGACAGACGGACGAACCCATTTTAATAGTCCCCTGCTTTCTTCGAAAGGCGGGGGACAAAAAATAAAACAAACGTAATTTCTAAAGCTGCTGTAATAACCAAGAAGCTAATTTTACTGCTATTAAAAATCGTCAACAATAGATTTTTTACGGCTGTAATAGTTGATATATTTGTAAAGAATTGCACGTGCCATGGCTATTTATTGACTCAAAGAGAGTGCGGGGTAGTCAGAAATCAGTTCGAGACACGCAACTGAAGCGTGCACATTTAGCCGTGTTGAGACCAACTTTCTGTAGAGTGCAAGGGTCACCCTACTAACAGTATGAGATAAATTAACTCACTATATAGATAGATATATGTTTATATTCACCAGTCTATATCTAACAGCAAGTGATTAATTAACTCATGACTATATATATATAGGTAGACAGAATATAGATACTATCAAAGTCAACATAGTCTATTATTAAACCATAAACACATGGAAGAATTTACACAGATTATATCAGCCATATTTTTTTAAAACTCCAAATAGAATTTATATCCCATGAGAAAAAAGGAAAGGCAGGTTGCCATTATTGTCGAACCCAGGTTACTGAGTGAAGACAGAAAAACGTGCCAAAGGTATTTTACGATTTCTTACACACAAAATCAATTGCAGAAGTAAGACAGACCAGTCACAACATGGAGTTATATTGCTGTTTGTCATACAATGATATGGGTTTAAGTCCACTCAGCACATACAGCTAAAATGGAAACTTGGTTGCCTTTTCTAATATCGCTGGCATATTTTCTAACAAATTAATACGATAATTGAGCAGGTATTTTGGAATTCATTCAGCTCATGTATAGCATATTTAAAGGGCATTTAGTGAAAGTGATATATAATAAAAGACAGCTTTATGGATAACATTCACTGGGTTTATTAACAGCAACATTTCAATGAGGATAATCTCACCATTATCAAGCAAAGATAGTACCCTCAATGAAACGTTGCAGTTAATAAACCCAGTGAATGTTTTCCATAAACTTGTCTCTTATAACATGTCTGTCAGTTACACCTGTTTTTACCTGAGTTAACCTGTCAGTGGCAGGCAGGTTGGCATTCTGAACATCTGAGACACGCTACCTGCGGAGAAGTATCTCAGACACAGTCAATAGCCATGATATCCATATCACGTGATCTACACATCACAGGTCATGACATTGGCGTCAATGGGTCATGAGGTCAACATTGTAAACAATAGGTTTATCTTTAGCATCGTGTCTGTTGCACCCATAAAGACTATATAATTCGTACAGTCCCAACATGTTCTCTCTTCTTCCAATGATTTTTCACAAAAATAACATCTACAACTCACAGAATTGACGTTGTCTTCAATGACAGCGTCTGCGAGGGTAGTTCAAAGAGGCCGCCATATTGCACTATTTTGTGCGTCGGTCGGGTCTATTTCAGATATACACAATCAATTCTGTTGATGTTTTTAGCGTTGGGATTGACTAATAGTTAATGTGTTTCAGTTCAAAAACAAATATTTTAAACTTTAACACAAATTTAGAAAATAGCCAAATTCTGGCTGGGATTACTGAGCAAAATGGCCATTCACTGTATACGTTAGTTACGTACGGGAGGTTGGGTGGCCGAATGGTTATCGCATCACAAGGTCTGTCATTGAGTCAAATGGCAGGGTTTCGATAACCCCGATTGAATGTGACAAGGAGTAGGGTCACCTGTCTAACCTCGTGGGTTTTCTCTGGGTCCTCCAGTTTCATTCCACTGCTAAAGACTCCTATGCACACTCGAATTATTGAAATAAAATTGAACCATATCAGTCCCGAAATGATCTAGTTTGTGTCATGTGAAGCTGTTTCTCTCTTTTTATACCCATCCGAAGGACTATTCAAAAGTTTATTTGTCAGTCCAAAAAACGCTTACCCTAACAAGTACAAGAAAAGTTCTGAGATATGTTCTTCAAACCACTGAGTATACTAAGCGAGAGAGTGTGGTATCGCAAGTACAAGTGGTACATCAGGAGAAATTGTCCAACTGAAATAATAGATACAAGTTGATAGACACCGGAGGGATTTGACTGAAAAAGTCTGAATTTCTGCTGAGACTCGCCCTGAAGACAGTTACCCTATTTCAAGAATCACTCTAAAGACAGGTGCCCTATTTCAACACTCACTCTGAAGACAGATGCCCTATTTCAACACTCACTCTGAAGACAGGTGCCCTATTTCAACACTCACTCTGAAGACAGGTGCCCTATTTCAACACTCACTCTGAAGACAGATGCCCTATTTCAAAACTCACTCTGAAGACAGATGCACTATTTCAAGAATCACTCTGAAGACAGGTGCCCTATTTCAAGTCTTGCTATGAAGACAGGTGCCCTATTTCAAGACTCACCCTGAAGACAGGTGCCCTATTTCAAGACTTGCTCTTAAGTAATAGATAGACGATGACATAAATTGTGCATGTACGTTTGTTAAGTAGCGTAGTAATCACATCCCATTTGAAGTCAGAAAGACACATGTCCTATTTCAAGGCTTACTCTGAAGTAATAGATAGAAGATGTAATAAATTATGCGCGTACGTTTGTTAA